AGAAGCGTATGAGCATTATGAAACATTAGATGATTTAGATGAATATCATATGGAAGAATCAATATGTAAATTTGAGAATAATAACAAAGATTTAAAGCAAACATTAAGAGAACTATCAATTAAAGATACGGTTATTAGAAGTAATAAACTTAAGGAAAATAAATTTATTGGTATCAAATATTTTTCAGAATTGAAAACAAGAAAGGAAACTGTAATTATACAAGCAAGATTACTTCTTAATCTGCTGATAAATTCAGAAGAGGTTGATTCATTATCAGAGACACTTTGTAAACACATTGTTGGATATTTACAGCACAAAATCCTTCATTTTATGTTTTTATTTTTAACTGAAATATTTACAATCTCTTTTTATTCCTACTTAGCAGTAAAGCATTACTTATTGTACAGTAATTTACCATTTAATAAATTAATTTATTACTGCATTGAAAATAGAATTATCCCTGTATTAGAGTTTGATCAATTAACTTCATTAGATAAGAAAGATTTAAGTCAGAAAAGCTTAGAAGATGAGATACAAAGACTAAAGACAATTGTTAATTTGTTGGTACTCAGAAACAAAAAAATAAGTACAATCTATGACTTTGTTTACACTTTAGAAAGAATATCGAAATACAATAATATAGGATTTATTGATCACATGGTTGTTAATTTAAGAGGTTTCAACTTAACTGAATCAATAGAAGTTTTTGAAGAATTTGTATTAATTAATAAATTCAGCTTTCACAAAAAACTAGATTTTTCCGAATTTATCAGAGATAGAAAGGCTGAAAAGATTAAACAATTAACTTCTTTAGATCCAGCAGAAGAGAATTCTTTTATTTTAAGAGAGTTATATAATGCAATGAATTTTTCTTGGGATAATTTCTTGAAGTATCATAGAAAATATCCAGAGTTTGCTTTTTACAAATTGGATGCATTAATTGAAAACTGCACTGAAACTATTCTATTAATGAGAGTGTTTAAAGATATGGTTGAATCATCCATTTCAATTGATAATCTTATATTTTTTAAATTTATAAACAGAGGGTTATACAAATTTTACAATAGGAATGATATAATAGAAAACTTCAGGAGAATGTCTGACGAAAGTAACCCCTTTTTGATTTTTTTAAGAGGATTAATTCAGATACCTCAATTTGTGCTTCTTCTCTTTAAATTCTCTCCACAAAGCTTAAAATATGCAGCATTGGTTATCGATCTGATTAATTTGGCACCTTCTCTCCTAAAGTATGCTATTGTATATTTTACTGAGTTATATGTTTACTCCTCTGATGTAGAGAATAATCTTTATGAGAATGGAAGAGTAGAAATGATTAATTATGAAGGAGGTGTTGAATATAAGTTTGTAACTGAAAATGACAAAAACTCTTACTTACAATCTTTAGATAAACCAATGGTTAAAGCTAAAATGGTTATGAATAAAGAATTTAAGTATATAAAAGGTAAAAAAGAAGGAGCATTGATTTGTAAATGTAAGTATTGTGAGGAAATTAACCATTTAAATCCCCTTTTATTAGAAGAAAATGATCTTATAAATAAAAAAGATTATGGGTTTAAAACTAAGAGATATGATTTAGAAGATTCAATCAATCCTTTTGAGATATTAAGTTTAGGATGTAAAAAATATTTTGCATTGTTTTGTTACCTTGTTTCCCCTAAGTATCCTGAACTTAAGAATATTTTTATGACCACTTATATTCCTAACAATGATTCATTAAAGAAACTTGATTATTTTAAAATAAGAAATTTATTAAATAAAAAGATCTCAGCATGGGCTTATAGGAAGTATAAGGGTTATATTGTTGCTGTGGTTGATTCATTGGCTAATCATTATTTTGATGAGATATATTTGATAATAAAAGAGAACTATAAAGTTAACGAATTAATTAATTGTTTACAAGCAAGAGTCTCATGTTTCAATGCACCTATTTGTATTTCTAAAGCAATGGATATTGTTAATATGTCTAATATAATAAAATACTAATTATTATTCTTTTTTAAATGTTACTTTATAAATGTATTTAAATATATTATTATTTATTAAAGTATATTATAATATTGATACATTATAATATCTAATATAATAAATAAAGATATATGTATTCATTTTATATATAATTCCTTAGAGTATTAAACATTATAATTTATTAATTCTTAAAATATTTTTCAATTATTTATTAATATTAAAAATATAAAATAAATGTTTACTGAATAATTAAACTTAATATTTCTAGAATGGATGCAATATTATCTTAAAAATATTAAATAAAAAACATGAGAATTAATTAAATCAAGTATAAAAATAAAGCTGGAATTTCAGAGATGTTAAAGGAACAAAAAATTGCATGACCAAACGTATATTTGTCAGTATTATATTGCTATTAATAGTTATATTTTTTGATACCTAAATTACTCTTTAATATAGAATATTAGGTATAACTTCTAATATCTAATAAAATATGAATAGCAAGAAAACATACATAAAGCAAATACATTAAGCTTCTTTACTGCAAACAATGATTAATTTAAATTAAAAAATTTATATTATTTTTTTAATGTTTTGGAATAGTAATGACTTTAGATTAAAGA